TATTTATTTATTTATTTATTTATTTATTTATTTATTTATTGGCTTAAAAATGAGAGATGGGCCAATTGCGGAGATCAGAAGGCGTGGGGGCTTGGAAGGACACATTCAGTTCTGCAAAACCTCCACCCTACCCTGGATGTTGTTTCTTACAATAAAAAATAAAAATAAAAAAACTGGGGGGAAAAAGCCCCATGCTTTACTTGTTTTTTTTTTTAAAGATGGGTTTACGGGGGAGGTGTCTCAAAACATGGCAAAACTGACCCCATGAGTGTTAGCACTGATTTATTGTTTTATATTTAAAATATTTAATAATTTTTTAAAAAATATTTGTATACTTAACTGTTTTCAGCTTTTAAATATTGCATTTTAATGAAGTAAGTCACCTCAGATTCTTTTGAAGGAGAAAGGAGGGGTAAAAATGTCTGTCTGTCTGTCTGTCTGTCTGTCTGTCTGTCTGTGTGTGTGTGTGTGTGTGTGTGTGTGTGTGTGAGAGAGAGAGAGAGAGAGAGAGAGAGAGAGAGAGAGAGGAGGAAGCCTGGTAGGGTTCATGGGCCCTTTTGCAGCCTGAGGTGAAGAACGTTTGCCACCCCAATTTTCTACTTAGAAGCTGACTGGACTTTAACTCCATATTAGTCACAGGACTTTGCCTCAGAACAGCACAGAATTTGGAAGTACAGTAATGAGTTATAGCCAATGTAAGTTAGAAACCCATATATTCTAATTAATTTTAAAGGTTACTTTCGAACAGCATATATTTTGTTTTCTCCACTCAAGAAATGCATAAGCCATTTGGAGGAATCTTTTACAGCCTTCAACTTTAAGACTGCTTCACCCTATTATTAGCAGCTGGAAGCACCAGCTTCCAAGACGTCCCAAAAGTTAGAAATTCCTGCCTGCCTTTTCTCCTCAGAGGGATCCTGATCTCCCATAGGAGGGCACGTTGTCTTGGCAACAGACCCGCCTACCGACCGCATTCTAGTCATGAAGCTTGATCCACACTGCCACCTGGCGACAAGAAAGTGTCATGTCGGTAACCAAAACACGTCTGCAGAACGAGAGGGTTTCCTTCCCCGACCTCTATCCTTGAGAACGATTGAGTTTATAGGGAAAAGAGAAGACTTACCAGGGAGCAAGATCTATAGAAACAAGAGGATTTACTTTTGCATAACCATGCACAGCATTAGTCCATCCATTTCCTTTTCATGGGAACACACTGCGGAATTACGCAACAAAGCCAAAGATTGGGGGTTCAATTCCCCACCGTGCCTCCTTGAGAGAGCTCTCTATATAGCATCCCTTCCAGCCCAATGGGACTTCAGCTCTCTATATAGCATCCCTTCCAGCCCTGCCGTTCTAAGATGATGATGATGATGATTATCATCATCATCATCATCTGCTTGCTTAGAGATGTATGAAGGTATAGCACTTGGAAGCACAAGACGAGAGCTTCTTGCTTAGAGACGTATAAAGGAATAGCACTTGGAAGCACAAGACGAGAGCTTACACAGGCTCGAGAGCAAAGATCCAATACAATAAAGGTAAAGGTAAAGGTTCCCCTTGACAATTTTTG